TGTGAGGCCCAGATTAGCCTTGTTTGCTTTGATAGGCTTTGGGCTGGGCTCTTCTGGTTTTTGGGCTTCCATCTTTCTTTGATTTTTGCAGCTTTATTCTGGGCCTCATTTTTGCTGGGCTGGGTGTGTCAATTTTTAGGCCCAAACAATGCCCCCTTAAGTCTGAATCGTTTTGGAACGGTTTCAGACTTAAATGACATGGCCATTAAATTGGCGCGTGGTAAATTCCTCGATTACCCCACGTCTGCCACTCTTCCCCACTAAGCTAGTGCAGTTTCTAGCTCTTTATTAGCTAGTCAATATCAGGTGACGCTTTGTCTTCTCCACGTCGATGTCTTCTCTTTCCCACGTTTTCTGGCTTCTTTAAAAGAAATTTAAAAACCCCCCGTTTCTGTTCACCTGAAAACCTAGTTCTTTCAAACTCCATTCCTCTTGAGCTTTCTTTCTTTCGATAACTTCCTTTCGCTCGATCCTTCCTTACCCTTCCTGTGAACCTCCCTTTTAGAAAAAATAACTCCGAGAAATGTCTTCCCTGAAATCCCGTGCTCAGTCTTCCTCTGTTCCAGTTCTTCCAGACTACATTACTGGGGCTGGGATTGATAAGCATGCGATAGAGGTTAGGAGCAAGCTCCATCCTTTTGCCCAGAAAAACCTAGATGAAAATGTCCTCCATTTGTTCGAAAACACCTTGGTGCTGGGGCCTCACTGGTTTGGCCCCGTTCCTCCCGAGATGGCAGAGCTGATGAAGAAGGATGCTGAGGCCCCTCTATGTTTCGAGAGCTCTTCTGCTCTGGCTTCTCATTCTTGGGTTAGCAAGAATTTGAGTCGTTCGTTCCCATCCAGTGAAGTGAGAAATAGTCCAGTCAAGTGGGCTGATTGGATTGTTCTATGTTTCGAGGGCTCTTCTGCTCTGGCTTCTCATTCTTGGGTTAGCAAGAATTTGAGTCGTTCATTCCCATCCAGTGAAGTGAGAAATAGTCCAGTCAAGTGGGCTGATTGGATTGACAGACTTCTTCCTCGATTTGGGGCTCACTGGAAGCGGGCTGGAATTTATGACGCCATACTCCTATCCAGGCAATCTATCAACAGGGATGAGAACCTGCTTGCTGCTGCTCTGTGTTTCTGGAATTCTGCCAGTAACAC